CCCCAAAACCCCAAAACCCCAAAACCCCATTATAGAAAAAAAAGTAAAAATTTTAAGAATTAGATTGATAATTAAATATAGTTGCCAATAACTAATATAACAATTTAAGTCATTTAATGAGCTGCAGAATCATGAGAAGACTTCAGAATTCTCTAGATTAGTTTAAGGATCCAATAAAATCGAAGAAACTAAAGGCGAAGTATTTAAAATAAAGATTTCCTAGCATTTATAAACACAACCTAGTTATCTGTATAGTACTAATTCTGATGGTTGCAATTAAAATAATTACTCTTGACGACCAAGATGCTTATTAAGAATACTTCTTACACTCAGAAAACTTTCAAGACTATAGAGAAAACTAGAAAATCAATCTCTTCATTTTTGCTTCGCTATCAGCTCTCTATATTGTTTTTACTATTATACAAAAATACATTAGAAAGATATAGATTATAAGTTTCTACTTGGTAATGATAATAGCACCTTTTACGTTTGGGTATAAGTCTTGCTTTAAAAAAGAAGTAATAATATTTGATTCGCTATTAGTTTATCTCTTACTCTACTATTCAATGCAATAAGTACTTGATGACTGTATTTACTAGTACTTTATTGCGGTAATTAATATTACTCTCGCTTCAGTCATGTTAGGTTCTTATAAAGTTTACGATGTCGATGGCAAGGAAATAAATTTTAGGGGTTTTAAGTTTTATTAAGCATATGTAGCTGTAACTTCAATGTTAGTAATTATCGGTTTCATATTGACTTCCTTGGATGTTGTATAAAGCCGAAAAAAATCCTTTTTGTTCAATGTCAAGGTTACAACACTAAAGACTTCATATGAAAATGTTATCAATAGTTTTCCTTAGGGAATATTAGTGACTACTCTAGATACTGAGATTTTATACATGAATGACGAGCTTAGAGGTTTTCTGAAGGATGAGGAAGTGAGCAACACAGAAGAAGTCCTTTAGCATAAATTATTTACGCCTTATCAACTCGGGCAAAGCAAGGATACTACTTTACGAAATGCTATAAACATTTCTGACATAGTTTAAGATTTTCACTACTATAACAATAGTAAATAGTACTACTAAATTAATGTCAACCATATTCCTGAAGGAGTTGAAAATATATTTAATATTGAACCTGATATAATTGAGGTTGAACTCTTCAGTATCATCTTCGACGATCAACAAGCAATACTTATGCTTATTAAAAACATTAGTCAGCTTCTCAAGGCTGAAAAATAAAAGAATGAGAGCAAGTACTAGGAGTTGCTAACTGCTACACTATCTCATGAAATGATGAATCCTCTAAACTCTATAATTACACTTTCAGGATTAGTGGAATAGTAGTATTATGGGCCAGTAATACCTCAAAAAATGGCTTAAGATTGGATAGAATACTTCAAAATAATTAATTCATCTTCAAAAATTATGTATTACTTAGTCAAAAGCCAAATCGATATTTAGTAGATCAAATAAGGGAAATTCTCTGTAAATAATACTTCCTAAAGGCCAATGGATATGATAAAGACTGTAACAAATTTATTCAAGATGTAACTAAACCAGAAAAATGTACCCTTGATTATTCTAGAAACATAAGACACTCCTCGGTATCTTGTTAGTGACTGGGAAAAATATCAATAAATTCTTATAAATTTCATCTAAAACTCAGTGAAGTTTACGGTTGAGGGCGAAATCAGGGTATTGGTTGGCTTTTAAACAATGGATGCTACTTAGAATACTTTGATGTACTCTAACAGCTAAGATTGTGAAACATGTGGATATTTATAGACTTAAATCTTTGATACTGGAATAGGCATCAAGGAGGATATGAAGTAAAGACTATTTTAAGTGTATAAGGCTTAAGATACTGAAGAAGCAAGTATAATAGGATCATCAGGGGTGGGTTTAGGGCTTAGTATCAGCAAAGATTTGATATTAGCTATGAAGGGCTCTGTAAAGATAGAATCTTAAGAAGGAACAGGTACTGAAGTAACTTTCAGAATAAAAGTTCAATAGGAGTCATGTTTAAGAAACCATGAATAAGATAAAGGTAAAGATTTTTGTAGATAAATGCCTTACGAACAGAAAATCTCAGTCAAGCTTTAAAATGAGTATAAGATTTAGATAATAGAAGATTCTAACTTAAAACCTAGAGAAGTTAGTTCCTTTAGGACTAGCAGGGATTTTTCATCATCTAATGATCCATTACCGAATATCCCAATATCAAATAACTATAAAAAGCAAAGCTCAAATGTCAAATATCTTCTTAATAATAATTCAAGTTTAATTAGCAAGGTAAATGGACTGAGGAACTAAGGGTCAAATAGGCGACTTTTTGGCAATGACATCGACATTCAGTCAATAAATTTCTCTTAAATTAATTCTATAGTTTTACAAAAGCATAAAACCTAAAAAAACGAAACTTTGAAAACCTTACAAAACCAACATGAAAGTACAGTTAAAAGTAATAGTGGAGGTAAATCAAATAATAATGTGGGTACCAATGGGTAGGTCAGTTCGAATTCATCATATATTAATCTGAACCTAAACTTCAATAATAATAGCACACTTTTATCTAAGAAAAAGAGGTCTAAGAAAGGTAGGAAATAAGTTAAAGACAAAAGAGTTTATGATAAAAAATACAAATAAAGATTAAGTCTTTTAGATCCATAGCCATTTGACTCTGTTAGATATTCCATCTTAAGAATGAATAATAATATCTTCTAAGGGGATCATGCCTCAAATATCAATCAGTCTTCAATTGATTATGCGACTCATACAGAAAAATCAAAAGACATATTCAAAGGAAGTAACTCAAATTTCAAAACTTAAAACATGATTTCCTCACTCACAAGTATCGAACACCTGGCTGGTCTGGCTGATCGCTCTCCTTTGCAAAGGAAAAAAATAGAGTATAAGTATAATTCAGGTCTTCCAGTTGCGACTATGACTAGAGAAGGATCTGCAATGTCAGGACAATCTCATCAACTTCTTAACCCTCTACATATAAGAGCAGTTTCTTCAAAAAATCTTTTTTCTAATAAAAAGCAGCCTGCTCCATTAGTTAAATTGCAGTTAGGGCAGTTGAATAATGCAACATAGGGTAATATGGGGGATACTGATAGTTTCAACAAAGATTATGATATAGTCTATTCGACTTCGACCCATAAAAATGATTTGCCGAATCTTACAGTATTTCATAGAAATTATGGCATTAAATCAGGAACAATGGTTATTGAGGAGGAATTACAGAATAGTAAATTATCAGAAATATACGGGCCTAGATAGGTCAGGGACTCAACTAGTATGATGAATATTTTAAATCCATAAGCAAATGCATTACAAATAATGAATAACAATGAGGCTGATCCATGTACTTTAAGGAATTAAGTATCAGGTAGCTTCAATTAAAATCTAGAAATTTTTGATGATGAAGACAATAATACATTCCAAACAAGAGTTTAAGTAATTGCAGGCAAATAGAAAGAGTGCTCTTGTTCAGCTGAAATACTGATAGTAGATGATTAAATGTTTAACCTGATTGCACTTGAGTTAATTCTCAAAGAAATGTTTGGACTGGCCGTAGATAAAGCATTCAACGGGCTAGAAGCTGTAAATTTATTCAACAAAAAAATCCTTAAAAAATGTTGCGACATGAAATACAAATTGATACTTATGGACTTAAATATGCCGATAATGGACGGATATGAGTCAACTTAACAGATACTAGCGCAGTTCAAGCGACTTTATCCAGACGGGTCATATCCTAATGGAGATAAAATGCAGATTATTGCTGTTACAGCCTTTGTAAACGATGAAAATGTGAAAATGTGCTATTAAGTGGGAATGAAGGATGTCCTTCACAAACCGGTTGATTTCGGGGCTCTTGGGAAAGCTCTTGACATCCATTTCCATTATAAAACAAATAATTGATTCTCATAGTAAATATTTCCATCTTCTTAACTATAGTAAATCCTATAAACAATAATAATAAAGCTGGAATATATTATTTGAGTTCCAGCTTAATTCATTTATCATTGCTCTAAATTTAATTTCAAAATTTAATTTTTCCATTGACATCAGTACTTTCATAATGGGGTTTTGGGGTTTTGGGGAGATCGGAAGAGCGTCG